CTGCGGAACAGCAGCGTGACACCGCTGCACGAGCTGTTGCCCGTCAAGATCCGGAGCGCAGAGCTGTGGAACAAGAGCGTGACACCGCTGCACACGCACAGGGCCGTGCTCAGGTGCATGCAATACAGCTTCCACAAGCCAGCTTACTTGAACGCTTGCGGAACCTAATGCGGTTTCCCTGTTTGCACGAGGGCCAGCACCCACGGCCGCCTGATTTTCTGGAGGCCATTCCGGAAGGGCGCGTGCAGGATTTGCCCGGCGGTGAACTCCCGGTGGATCAGCAGGTACCCTACGAAAAGCACTTGCATCTTGCAAGCAGGATGGCCGCCGCATTGCATCGACGCATGCCTTCGCGGGTGTGTGCCGTCTGCTCTGAACAGTGCTCGGAGGAACAGTCCACGCTCCGTGCCTGGCTGGACATTCCCAATGTGGACCTTTTGCGTGCCGACATCATGTGCACCGCCGCAGTGCCGCGTCATGCGCGTACCCTGGCTTGGCGGCGCATGCCCTGCACTGCCCAAGGTACCACACCACCGCCGCCAGATCCGGTTCTGCCGGCTCGGTATCATATCGGCAGATCCGAACGCGCGAGTAGTGCTGGCATCGGTGGTGACCCTGATCGAGCGGCATTCGTAGATGAAGATGCGTTAGCAGTTGACAGCGACGGTGGAGACAACGGGACTAATGAGCCAGGTGCTGCAGATGACGCGGCCACAATGCAGCTACCTCCGGAATTACAACCCCATCCACCGCGGGTGCAGCCGCGGCCTTGCGTCGATGACCCAATAAGTGTGGAGGTTCCGTTTTGCATGCGTCTTGATACAGAGTTGCCGAACCGGACCGTGTTCCCACACGATGATGCTCCGGATGAATTCACCATCTGCACCTCGTGCGAGAAGGCACTCGCAGGTAAGCAATTGTTCTGTCTCCTATACAGCCAGTCCCTCCATCCATTGGATCATGCTGTTCAGCACCTTTGTTTCGTCCAGCCGTTTTCTCTGTGCGGCCGGTATGGCCTTCCCCTTCGGCTCTTCTTCTTCTTCTTCTCGTTTAAACACCTTATCTTTCAATTGTGCCTGCCCGATACCCACCTCCCGCCGCTTTTGTTGCAGCACGCCGAATACCTGAAGCGGCTTTGGCACGACTCGATCCGGGTGACGTGCCATCTGTTAATCACCTGGGCGATCCCTTGCCTGCGCCCACGTTCGTGGAGAGTCAACTGCTAGGGCGGGGCCGTCTCATGCAGCAGCTCATGATTGTACATCTCGCGGGCCGCCCTCCCGAGGTATTGCCATGTGCCGTTCAATCTCATGGCATCGCGGTCGTAAACCCTGACCCCAATATGCTACGGGGCCAGTTGCCCGCGCGTGTTGCGGATTTGGCTGGCGCTTTCACGGTGGTTTGCGTGGATCAAGTCCGAGACCGGCAGGACTTGCTGGATCGTGTCCGCCGTGCACCAGGCCTGAAAGTGCGTGGCAACGTCGTCGTCGCCTGGGTGCGTTTCCTTCAACATAACGATGAAGATGAAGGTGCAGTGGATGAAGAAGCTATACAGGAGTATGAGCGTATGGGATGCATTGCACAAGTACCGGAAGCACTGCTGCGCTCCACAATCGGTCCTACCGATCCGGAAGTCGCTGGTGTACTGCGAAGTACCTTCCTACACGACCGTACCGGTGCTGCTGGTGTACGGCAGCTGCATGAAACGTTGCAAGGAAACATCGTTGGTAATAACTTTGATGGCGGTGGCGTTTATGGTTCACCACTTGAGACAGGTGCGACTTTTCATAGCTAACGTAGGGCTGCATACTGCATATGACGCTTCCAAACTGGCATTATTACTTCCACCTGCTTCACGCACGTCCTTCCAACCTTAATGTTCCTGTGTTATAGCTGCCGACGACACCACAGCTGGACCGACCGGCACAGCTAATGATATCCTTCATGATGCTGGCGCCTATGGACCACCGCTTCGTACAGGTGCGACTTGTTAAGTACGGCATACATCAGTGAAGTTGACAACTGAATACTGCCACCTATAAATGCTGCTACGTCCGTTCACTTCCACCTCGCGGTATTGTTTCCACCTGATTCGCATGCGTCCTCCCGGCAATGGTGATTCTGTACTCGTGCATCTGTTATAGGTCCCGATGTACCCGCGCCTGGAACGACCACCTCCGACACTCGCATGGCAGGTATGTGTGTGATGGGTACACGGCACGTATGGGTACGGTACGGTACCAACCTAGCAAAACGGTACATACATAACTGTTTATCCGCACCCGTAACACCGTTGTCCTGTACAGCCTGTATACAGCTGTATACAGCTGCGGTTTTTCACATGCTATAAGTGCTGCCGTATGTGTCGTCCGAACGTGTTAGATTCCGAACCATTAACTGTGCTTCTTTTCACCTCCTTGTACATCTGCGCAACCGTGTTTATTTTCCATCATAGATGCTGGTGCTACGGGCTTGGCGCCTGTCGCGGTCGTCCTGCGCCAACCAGGCGATCCTGGTAAGAATATCCGATGTGCACTATTCGTCGTGTTAGTGCTGCATGTCTTATGCGAACGTTGCGGATGTCACTCGAGTAACGTGCCATTTGCCCATCTTATGAATATCCGCCCCCACCACCCAACGCAGCTGATGCCAATCTGGGCATCCCAAACGTGCCATTTGCCCATCTTACGAATATCCGCCCCCACCACCCAACGCAGCTGATGCCAATCTGGGCATCCCGAATGAACTGGAGGTGGTCCTTCCACAACCAGCCCCTGTTCCGACGGACGGCACCGACTTTGATAACCGGCCCAACGTGGTGCACGACTTGCTCACCGGGCGTGCACGTCTCGCGTTCGCTGCTGGCGGCCGTGGTGCTCAGATCCTGGATGACCGCCATCCAGCCATCCTCAACGTCTGCTTCCCGGTTTCGTTTCCATATGGTTTGTCCGGACAACGGCCACCGGGTATGTCGTTCGCCTCGTATTGCAGCCACCTCGTACGGAGGGTGCCACGGGCGCAGTTCAGCGGTAACTTGATGCTGCTTGCCCGAATGTATGATATCAGCGTGCGGCAGCAAAGCATGGCGCAGGTAGGAGTGGCCCTGCACATGCGACCACGGCTGGGTGGAGCAGCGGCACTAGTACCACGGGATGTGGTACGTACCATGGCAGACATCTTGGCACTACCGTACCGTCATGCGCAGCGACGGCACCTGCTGTCGCAACAGTCACCCGTGGTGTGTGCCCTCCTGGATGGCACACGCGCCAGCCTGCTACGAATCGACCTTACGGATGCCTACTACAACGGTGCAAAAGCCACGATGCGTGCGGCTGCCCTCACTATTGGCTGGCCGCCATTGTTCTTCAATCTGAACCCGGCGGACATGCACGCTAGCTGTGCCGTTGTAGCCTCCGGTCAGGTCATAGATTTTGATGACGCCGGGCGTCCGACCCATATCAGCAGCACGGTGGAAAAGTGGCGCCGCGTCAAAGAAGACCCGCACAGCTGTGCGGCGCTGCTCATCGCCACCAAAGAGGTGTTGGTGGA